CAACTGTAAGCAAGGCTGCATTCCTCAAGCATATACTTAAGTATCTATATTATCCACGCACGCTTTTGTATGGTGTCGACTCCGTGTACTCTCATTGCAGCACATTAACCAGGTTGTGCAGACGCTGAGTAGGATTGGTTCGAGTACCCCATGGATACTGTGCGGGAAGGGCTACGGGTGTGCCTTCGTTTAATCTGAAGGATATGGTGCGAGTGACATATATGTATGTTTTAATATTTATTGTAAGTTAAAGGGTTATTCAGTCGTACAGAGCACAGCTCTACCGTATCTGTTGTTTAACATTAGATACATATACATCATCAACTTGCTGACACTCGTTATTGTGAGGTGTAGGGCTGAACTGGTAGAGTGAATTTTAATTACGAAACCCCTGTAGATATGTTTAAACGGCCTTGTGGAAGAACAGGATTCTTGTTGTGGTGAGGAAATTGTGTCGCCACAATTAGAATAATTCGGAAATAGAGCGGAGGTTTTTTAAGTAATTACGTCTGTCAGGACATACTAACGAATGATAGCATGGACAATGACTCACGCCGTGTAGGTGTACCATATCTCGAGAATTGAATTACATTTATTAAGAATATTTTCTATCCCGTACACTCACTGAAATATTCCATTATCCCACGTACTTTCATTGAGGGAATATTTTCTACCCCATACTCTTACTGAAGGATTCTATTAACCCACGTATTTGCTAACCTTGTATCCTCGTGAAGGTAAGGCTAACCCGTCCTCTCATAAGGGACATTTCAATCAATTCTACCCCATATTGTGACAATTAGTCTCTTATGTTGGGAGTCTGTTCTAAAGGACTCTCTTATGGAGGGAGGCTGTTCTAAGGGACTCTCTTATGTTGGGAGTCTGTTCTAAAGGACTCTCTTATGGAGGGAGGCTGTTCTAAGGGACTCTCTTATGTTGGGAGTCTGTTCTAAAGGACTCTCTTATGGAGGGGGTCTGTTCTGAAGGACTCTCTTATGTTGGGAGTCTGTTCTAAAGGACTCTCTTATTCGAGGGAGTCTGTTCTAAAGGACTCTCTTATGTTGGGAGTCTGTTCTAAATGACTCTCTTATGTTGGGAGTCTGTTCTAAAGGACCCCCTTATTCGAGGGAGTCTGTTCTAAAGGACTCTCTTATTCGAGGGAGTCTGTTCTAAAGGACTCTCTTATGTTTGGAGTCTGTTCTAAAGGACTCTCTTATGTTTGGAGTCTGTTCTAAAGGACTCTCTTATGTTTGGAGTCTGTTCTAAAGGACTCTCTTATGTTGGGAGTCTGTTCTAAAGGACTCTCTTATGGAGGAGCCTGTTCTAAAGGACTCTCTTATGTTGGGAGTCTGTTCTAAAGGACTCTCTTATTCGAGGGAGTCTGTTCTAAAGGACTCTCTTATGGAGGAGTCTGTTCTAAAGGACTCTCTTATGTTGGGAGTCTGTTCTAAATGACTCTCCTATGTTGGGAGTCTGTTCTAAATGACTCTCTTATGTTGGGAGTCTGTTCTAAAGGACTCTCTTATGGAGTAGTCTGTTCTACTCCGCACTTTCACGGAAGCAATCTATTCTACTGTAGTAGAGGGATTCGCCTCGATTATGTTTCTAGGTTTGTCAGAAATATACCCGTGCTTCTTGGTTTTACTAAAGTGGTAAGCGTCTAAGACCTGCATCAGTTCGGGCTTTCCTACCATATTAAGCTGACACGCCGTGATATAACTGGAATATTGTTCAAAGGGGCGTTAAACCCAACTCACTCACTAGTGGGAGGGAATCTATTCTACCCTGTACATTTACTGAAGGAATCTCTTCTACCCAGTTCTCTCACTGAGAGATCATTTAATACCCCGTATTGGTGAAAACCTAAACTACCATGTAATAGCTCATGGAAGCATTCTACTTCTATCTAGAACTCTTTTTGATGTGATCTATTCTGCACGGTACTCTCATTGAGGGAAAATATCCTACCTCGTACACTCTTAGAAGCAATTTATTCTACCCGGTACTTTCGTGGGAGGAATATATTTTACCCGGTCCTCTCATTGAAGGAATCCATTTTTCCCGTCCTCTCATGAAAGGAATCTATTCTATTCGGTACTCTCATGGAGGAATCTATTCTACTCCGTACTCTCGACATGGAGGGAATCCATTATTTCCCGTCCTCTCATGAAAAGAATCTATTCTATTCGGTACTTTCATGGAGAAATCTATTCTACTCGGTACTCTCACTGATCGAATCTCTACTACTCGGTACTGTTCTTGAGGGAACCTATTCCACCCCCTACAATAAATGAAGGGAACCTGTTCCACTAGGTACTCTCATGGAGCGAATCTATGTGCCCAACCCCCCCCCCCCCCCCCCCCCCCCCCCCCCACACACACACACTAGGTACTCTCATGGAGCGAATCTATGTCCCCCACACACACACACACCCCACACCCACCCCCTCCCCCGCACACACTCTCACACAGGGTATATTTCAGCTATTTTCAGCACTACGTACTATACCAAAGCGAAAGAATCCGCCATCATTCAGTTCCGACGGGATGGTGGCACTGCGATAATTAAGTCAGTAAGATTTATCTCCCTTGAATATATCATTACAATCAGCACATGCGTTCATCTGAATAAGCGTTCATCACTGAACCTCATCGGGTGTTAGAGGCACACAACGAACAGAGAGTATGCATATTAATAACTAGCCAATAAATATGGTCATAATCATATTAGTATTCATAATTAATCACAAGCCCAGTGGGAATTCCGAAGAAGAATAGACCTCAGTCTCGCATGTCTTTGACACAAGAGCAGAAAGATTGATTAATAGGGTTTTGTACCGTATTTATGAATATTACAGCTATATGTTTGTTTGTTTGACATCGCACTCAATATTCCAGCTACATGCCGGCGGTCTGTAAGTAATCGAGACAATCCAATGATGATGAGTATCGATCGACGCAGCTGTAATTCGATGACATGGATCAACCAAGTCAGTGAGCCTGACCATCTGACCCGTTAGTCACCCCTTACGACAAGCGGACCCCAGAAAACTGTTCACCTATTTTACCCATGTGGAGAATTAAACTTGGTCCTTCGGCGTTACATAGAGAATCGCACCCGTGTGTCTTTTGATATCAAATACATCAACACTAGTTGATAAAAGTGGCAAAATTCCTAGGCTTGCCGAGGATTTTTGCCACTTTTATCAACGAGTTTTGATATATTTGATATCAAAAGACACGAGGGTGAGATTTTTTTTATCATCCAACATCATTCTTCCAACTTTTTCAATTAGTTGACAGTAATTAGCAGTGTCTTCAGTGTAAAAAGTACTCCTAACAGCTTCAGTAGCAGAGCCATTAGTGATGTCATTTGATTGTGACGTCATGGTAACCAGTGATGTCACAATGGCCTGCAAAGCTTTGTGATGTAATTCATTGCAGCGATATCTACAGTGTAGATATCGCTTGATCTAATCCTAGCGATATCTCATGTGGGAACCAGTTTTGGATGATAAAAAAGCCTGTCAACTACCACAACCAGAAAACAAAGTAAAATGTTTTCTTTTTCACAGAAAGTGTTTATTCAATTGGCGCGAAAGTTCTGACAATGTGAAACAATAGGAATGGAACTTTAAAGGCAAAGATTCAAATAAACCACGCGCATCATGATCAATTTCACTCAAAAAATTTATGACTAATAATCTATAATCATTAATAAACTATTATAATAGCATTTGACAATGGTAATAAACAGCAATCAGATCAAACCTTTGTAAGCATACTTGATTTAATATGCAGAATTTCTGCAAGTCTTTATATTACTCATAATTTGTCATTACAATAAATATATAGTTTATCAAGCAATGCACAAATAATGATCGATATTTGAAGCAAGATACAAATTCGAAACAGATACCCTAACCATTAAAATCTCAAATTTGATTCCATTTTAAGTGAGGATATAAGGAATTGTTGTAGGAAATGATATTAAAGCAATAGTGTCTTAAAACCGGTTGTTTATTGTGATATCTACAATAATATTGCTCGTGGGTCTATGATATGCGCTTTACGCTGCTGTGGTGACACCAGAAATGGGTTTCACACATTGTACCAATGTTGGGAATCGAACCCGGGCGAACGCTTTAAACGCAAACTTACCCCACCGAGCCAAGAGTCTATTTAATAACGACAACGGACGTATATAACCGAATAATTGTTAGGACGGGCGTTAAACACAACCCACTCACTCACCCATTAGCTACTCCGATAAGACATGCTAGATAATGTTGGGGAGCGGTCGGGTAGCCTAGTGGTTAGAGCGTTCGCTCGTCACGCCGAAGACCCGGGTTCGGTTCCCGATATGGGTACAATGTGTGAAGCCCATTTCTGGTGTCCCCCGCCGTGATATTGCTGAAATATTGCTAAAAGCGGCGTAAAAACATACTCACTCACTCACTCTGTATCACTCGTCTCGATGCTACAGTGACACTTCAAGCATATGTGTAATAAATTAAGATGCTGACCAAATGATGACCTTTCAATGGTAGCGCTGTGAGTAGAAACGGTTCACAACCTGACATATATCCTACAGTAAAAGAACACCCGATTTTTTCATGTGGCTATGTTTAATCTGTCGGTACGGCAATCTGAAGGTACTGCAACACAACCTTCCAAGTGTGGGTATTCCTTCAGTTGAGGTACGTAGTATATGTAAGTATTAAAAAGTGAAAACGCACTGGAGAGTTAATATATAAAATATTTATTCCGACAACCAATCTACATGACATGCATTCTCACTTTATCGCATTCATTTCCTGATGAAGTTCGATCAATGATGAATATAACACAGGGAAAGGGTCTCCAAATAATGTATGGACATTGACACATTGTATCATTTCACTTTGAAAATAAAACCATGCAAATGCTACGAAGGGCGATAACTCTACTGAACACTACAAAGATGAACACTATTATGATTCGACGGTGGTTGGTGGCTGCTAGCATGAGTACATCTTAGGTCCGCAGCCAACAGGAAGCCTCACTTTCAACTTGAGGATCTTATTTCCGGTTCCGGTTCCGTCACAGTAGGCCGCCACTTCTCGGTCGGCATATTTCTCCACGCACTTGTTAATACCCTGTGAGGGTCCACCATACGGGAATTCTCGAGATCTGAAATTATACCATTTTCAATCATCACATGGAAAATATATTTTGTTTCCTTTGTGGTTTAACACCGCACTCAGCAATATTCAAGCTATATGACGGCGGTCTGTATTTACCAGACAACCTTGTGATTGACATCAAGAGCATCGATCCATGCAAATGGGATACGATGACATGCACCAACCAAGTCATCGAGCCTGACCACCCAATCCCGTTAGTCGCCTCTTACGACAAGCATAGTTGCTTTTTACGGCAAGCATGGGTTGCTGAAGATCTATTCTACCCCGGATATTCACGGGTCGCCAGTGTCTATGTCAGATATTTATTAATTAAGCATTTGTCTGGTGTCATCACTGATTTTGACCCATTCATATAATTGTCACGACTATTATGTCTTTTATGCCAAGAGAATCTGTTTCGGCCGATAGTCGAGACTGATCGTTCTGTAATGTTGACGTTTTCTATCTATCTATCTATCTATCTATCTATCTATCTATCTATCTATTCATCAATCCATCCATCCATCCATCTATCTATCTATTTTGTTGAGAATGAGAACGTGATAATTCTAATGAGATTACCAACAAAAATAGTCCCTAGGGAAACAGTCGCTAGAATTGATTTTTATTTGGGTCTGTTATTTTTGTGAGAGACCGAATATTCCTGCAGTCATTTTTTTCCGAACACCCAGCAATTGTTGTCTTTTAGTAAAAACTGAGCCTATTTTTTTAAGAGTATTTTTCAATAATTCATGTTCACAAGTTGAAGGGACATACCTGCACATGTACACCTGGACATTCTGGGTATCCGGTTGGATCAAATAACACACACCACCGTTGTGAGAAATCTTAGTTAGAATCTTCCTGTCAGCATTACACATCCCGTGACGGTCAGGTGAGGGGTAGGTCTGAGAGCTGGGGGTAAATATCTGTCCTGGAAGTGTACTTTGGGCTGTAATTTCTTTCTGGATGAGATCGCTGAAAGGAGACAAGGAAATTAATCATGACTGCAAATAAGAAATGACTGCAAATGACTGAATAAATCATCATCATCATCATCATCATTGTCGTCGTCATCACTATCATCGTCGTCACCATCATCATCATCATTATCATCATACTACTACTACTACTATTACTAATACTGCTACTGCTACTACTACTACTAAAAGTTAAATCATCGTGAAGGGCATTATGGTAAAATTGTGGTTAAATGTTTTGATCGTTAGCTAATTTCCATTTTAATAAAAAATAATATTTGTACAATGATTTATAACTGTGGGTTAGTTTCATTTTAATGTTTTTGTTCCGAAAGGTAGACGTGGAGAATCCACATTCACCAAGTCGCATTATTTGTAGAGTAAAATGTCAGATAATGAGGTTCCACATAATATTTTATTCTACGAAAGCTTACTTTGGAATGATAATTGCATTTGTTTGAAATCGAAATTTCACTTATTTTCTTGTAAATTCGACTTTTTTTTCTCTCGTTACATCGATTTTTCTCTCGTTATTCCGAGTTTATTCTCGTTGCTTCGATTATTTTCTCGTTACTTGAATTAATTTCTCGTTATTTTAAGATTATTAAAAAATTTTTTTTGAGTTTATCCCGTTACTTCGAGTATTATTTCGAGAACATACTTGAAATAACGAGAAAATAATTGAAATGACGAGAAAATAATTGAAATGACGAGATATTTCGATTTGAAAAAAATAAAGTTATGGTACCAAAGTGGCATAATTAGGCTTTCGTAATATTCGAGACAACGGCATGATGAATGATGTGTTTCAGTTGCTGTTAGCGTTACAGATCTGAGATGAAGGGACACGAGGACTTAACACTCACCCCGGGTACCCCAGTTTGTCAAAGCCAAATCCATAGGACCTGAGTTGGTCCATGTAGTTGTTGAAGCACTGGTTACTGCGAGGAAGAGATCCCGTGTGTACCCCTGAAAGTACAACTGGCAACATGAATTCATTGTCACCGTAGAGTAACGCGTAGGACATTTCAAATGTGTAATAAATGCACATATACGAAGGATGATTGATAAAATAATAAACCTCACATATAAGGAATTTCGTAACAGTGAAATTTGTTGTGTGTGTGAGTGAGATTGGTTCACGCCGATTTGAACATTATTCCAGTAAAATTACGGCGTGTCAGCTCAATGAGGGAGGAAAGCCCGAAGTGATGTAAGCCTCAAGCGTTCACCACTTTAGTGATACCCACGATTGTATATGGGGCTGACAAAACTAGAAACATTATCGGAGCGAACCGGGATTCGAACCCACAATCATAGGTTTCTGGTGTGGACAAGGGACACAAGTCTCAACAACGCATTACGGCGCCTTAGACGACTGGGTCCCCTTGCCCCTCTGTTGTAAGATGGTCCGCGATGTCACAGAGGCATACCCTCGAAAACATGAGTCATTTAAGCAAATTATCTGCAGTTACCAGTAGGTAACATAAGCAGGGTTCCGTGACCCTTGGAAAATAGATAAACTTGAGGAACGTCCAGTGATCAAGTACTTCTTCTCAAATGTCCGGATTAGATCGACCAGGACCTTTTTCTGGTGCTTCACATGGAATTTTCAGATTTGACAATTTCACTTAACTTAGTAGGAGTGAATGAAATTTAAAAATTGCGAATTTGTTCGGTCCCTTGATGCAGGAACCCAACTTTACGTAGCCAGCCTCGTAAAAGACTCGGTACAGGATGATGTCTTTCTCTTACTTGGTTGTGAGTTTGCTGCAACATGGTATTCTGGCTGTTGTGGTTGGTAGCTTTGCTGTGCTGGATAAGTAGCTAGTTCTGGGTGGTAACTGTTTTGTGGATGTGTTGGTTCTTGTGGCCTGTAACCTGTTTGTTGTCTTGCCACCAGTGGGTATTCTGGCTGCTCATTTGGTTGTTGCGCTGTTTGGACTGGATAGGTTGGTTGTTGTGCTGCTTGTGCTGGATATGTTGGTTGTTGTGCTGGTTGTGCTCCGTACGTTGGTTGCTGGGGAGCTCGGGGAGCTGGCTGTTGAGGGTAACCAGGTTGTGCTGGATATGTTGGTTGTTGTGCTGGTTGTGCTCCGTACGTTGGTTGCTGGGGAGCTGGGAGAGCTGGCTGTTGAGGGTAACCAGGTTGTGCTGGATATGTTGGTCGTTGTGCTGGTTGTGCTCCGTACGTTGGTTGCCGGGGAGCAGGGTACGCAGGCTGTTGCGGGTAACCAGACCGTGTCGAGAACGTTGGCTGCGACGCAGGGTTATAATTATGTAAGTTGGTTAGGGAGACTGAATCTGATGGAGGGTATCTCGACCCGACCACTCTTCCTGTTCCCGTTACTGGGGCAACGCGACCAGACCGAGGAGCGTACTGTCTGCCTGACACAGGGTACCCGGTGTTATGTTGGTACGGAGACTGATAATTCCTACCTCCACCAATCCTAGCTTTTGCAGCTAACAACAGATCAAGATGGGGAGCGGTGGGACCAGGCTTGTAGACATTAACAGAAGTCTTCCTCGGGAAATTGCCACTTGGTTGATAACGATTGGGATTAACAGGAACATAACTTCCTGGTCGTGCTCTGTTCTGGTTCTGGACCTGGACCTGGACCTGGTACGGGTTAACATTGGAACCGGAAGGGTACCCTTGTGGAGTGTACCCTGCTCTCGGAGACCTGGCAACATGCGAGGGGAGCCCCAGGGACAATAGGCCGTAGACTCCACCCACACTGGACAGACTCTTTAACCCAGGTTTATAGTAAGGGACGGAAACGCGATTGTTGAAGGAATTGGGATTTTGAAAGGATCGATGATACCGCTGTCCATGGCTTGGTGATGTCCCAGCGATCCATATCACAAGCACTATCAGAATAGAAGGTACCTGAAGAGAAAACATTAATGTAGGAACTTATCTGGCGCTACCGGTGCCATAAGAATCATCGCATCATAAACCATTGATTTGAATTTTATTAAGTAAAATAGCTTGAATGGGATAATATTATATTTAATGGAATTCAGTACACTATCATATATGTATATGGTGCTCAAGTTTTTGTTACATTTTATTAATGCGAACATGTCATTGTACTCGTTTTACGATATATACAAATAGATGTCTGCCTGAACCAGAGGTATAGGATATATGATGGGTTCTATAATGTCTCCATACACAGTTAGTTCATTCATAAGGATTGTACATCAATATTAAAAATAATATGCTTTACATTTCAGTTCAGATCTCACTTAAGTACCTTTATACGTCTAATGATTCTCGGCAGATCTGTTTATTCAAGAGAAAATGTTTATAAACACGATTAAGCTTTATACATCCTGAGCTGTCACGAAAAACATCTTTACACCTTTACGTGCCATTAATTCAGCATACTCTTAGATAGAATGGTACGGCTTCCCCGAATCAATATAGCAAACCCCATTTAACCGGTTTATTCTGGATTAGCCAATAACCGGATGAACAAAAATCATAATTACGGAGAAATGACCGTTGACTAAAGACGTCAGAATGATTTGTTCATTGTCGATCTAATATGGAAACGTTTACTCGCAAAGGGAGCTGAACTTTTCAGGTATTTAGCATGAGATGTGAAATTATGTAACTCCGTGTATTCATATTTTGTAATCTGCCATGTGAAAGGACACCCAAGAGATGACGGAAGCGACAACTTACAGCTCATTTCATCAATACAACATATTCACCTTGAAAAAGGTTAAGCACCATGCCTTCTGTATTTCCCTATCTCATGAACTTCTACGTAACTTTTGGAAACATCTATAAAAGCCATTGATACTAATTCTTAGATACCATCCATATCTGAAGTACATTTTGCAAAGGAACACTTTGTTCTTCTAGACAGATCTGGCGCATATAATACGATGCAAAGCAGAGAAGGCAGTTGAGAGAGTAGTTAATAATTATTGTCATAACAAAATTATTGACAGTTACAAAAAGGTTATTAGATAATCGATTAATAGTTTTGTGCATTTCAATAAGAGTATGTCATAACAATAATGTTTGGTCAGATTAATACAGGACACAATGTTTAAAATGGCTCATACGGGAATCATACAGTAAGCGGTGAATAACCTTTTTATTAGTGTATAATGAAGGCGGTTCTTCAAGATATTATTGCCAGGATTACAATACAAATGAATATCCACAACTTGGACTTTCGAAACAGTAATTATCCGAGAATTACTATGATGAAAATGGTTTTCGGAGAGGCGCCCTGTTCCGTTTCTATTTCTCTATATAATGGGGGCAGTGGGAGAGCGCAGTGGTTAAAGCGTTTGCGCGTCACAACGAAGGCCCAGGTTCGATTCCCAACATGGGTGACAATGTGTGATGCCCATTTCTGGTGTAACTCGCCTTGATACTACTAGAATATTGCTAAACACGGCATAAGACCCAACTCACTCACTCTCCATATATTGTGTTATGACATATGAATGGAAATCGTATCAAATATGCAATATACCTTTAACACAGAAACATGATCAAATCATTGGTTTACCCCTGATTACACACAGGTATCAAATATATATTTACCATCATGTTGCCTTGTCCAGTATGTGCTGATACTGCGGGGTGTGGGGGTACGTACTCCGCCGCGGCCTTTAATACTATGGAGCTACCAACTACTGTGACTTTTATGAGACTTTGACGAGATCGCGTCTGTGTTGCAATAATGACCCTCTTTCCTAAAAGCAGTTGGACGCTGAAGGTTTATGACCTGTTCCCACAATTGGGTGACCTGTTTGCGGATTACAATGCATATTTACAATGCAGAATAGGAACAATGTCCGTCTCAACGATAGGGGTGAGGAAGCCATTAAATTTGAATTGACTGATCATGACAAACACACACTAAAGCCGTAGGAATTACAGCGGATTATGCTGTAACTGATTTCTAACTGTTTCTGGAAGGTTTCCGTAATATGCATATGCTGTTTCGTGTTTGTTCTTTGTGTATGTTTTGGACACATTTCATAAATATGTTTCAGGTAAAAATATATTAATTATAGTTATATGTAACATGTGCTTATTTCACAGATCTATTAGTTTGTTTTTTACCAACGACGGCGAACGCGACAACGCATAGGCGGCCAAGAGACACTTACCACTTCACCAATGAAAGTGCAAAAATTTAAAAACATATGTTCAATCTAAATAAGTGCAAAACGCATCGCCCAAACACAACAATGCTATATGCAGAAAGTGATCCAAGTCCACGCACGTATGTTTTATAGAAATGCGAAAAAGTTAAAAACACGTGCATTAAGAGTATATAATTAATAAAAAAGCGACAAAATCATTTCTATATCCAATAGAAATCTCTGCTGAAGGCAGAGTCGATTGTAGGATTCCGACTATATCATGAGCATGTGTTTATGAATCACTATCAAATAGTAATGATACCAGGTGTTCGCGAAAAGTTGAGCGGATCCTGCCCCACCGGTGACACCCGTCACACACACATGCAAAGGCAAGTTAATTATTCACCTGAAAAAGCAAAGGAACATATGGTACAAGTCAAAATAGGGAATTGCATCGGACATCCACATGTCTACCATAAAACTTTTTGAAAGCTTTGCTGAGGCCTTGAATGTTGTAACCTTGATCAAACAACTTCTGAGAAAGAGTCGTATGACGTTCTTTGAAATCTTGGTAGAAGGAGCATGCTCGATTGTATCTCAAAAGTTGTGGAATGTAAACACCATAGGCTGGAGCTACTGGAATATTGCTCGACATGAAGGGAAAGTTGACTATTGGAAAGTTGAAGTCATAACACCCTGGTATATAACACACCATCTGTCTGAGACATTTATGGCTCCGCGATTTTCTTTAAAACTAAAGCGTTAACTGAACTGTGGTAAAAGGGTAAGTCACATGTGACCAGTAGTGTATGCGTTTCGTTACACTGTAACAGTTATTTAGTCATGTAATTCGTTCTTCTAGGACAAAGACAACACTTTCTGCTGCTGAATTATTGCTCGACATGAAGGGAAAGTTGACTAATGGAAAGTTTAAGTCATCCCTCTTGTAATACAGTCTTGTAGAGAGTGTTTTGTCACTCAGAATCTTTATGCATAGATCTCACTGGTCTCCTTTATTTCTAGTTCAGGTGGGTAAATCAGTGGAAGGGAATTGGCTTTTTGATTGTTAGTGTAATGATATCAGATCATCGATATACCTGAAGCTTGGTCAAATCACCTTGTTTTGACTTTGCCAATCCGAGCAGAAACTCCGATTCATATGCATAAAGAAACAGATCCGCAAGAAGGGGAACATAATTTTACCCATGGGGATGTCTACTTCTTGCCTTTTTTAGATGTATATGCCCTTTGTCCATTACGTTGAAAGCTTGTTCTTGCTACCCCACCTCAATTTGGGCAACTGTCATGCCAAAATCGGATGCTGTATGACTGTCATTGTAAATGTTGATTTTGTTGACATCTTGATCTTTTCAAAAGGTTTTAGTTCATGCGATTGTCTTTTTTGTTTTTTTAACTGGAGTGATAGATAAAGTTTCTTTTGGCCACCAGTTTAAGTGTCGATTTTTTTTTTTAATTTTGACTAATATTTTGTTTTCTAATAAAGGGCGACAATGCATAAACGCGACATTTAGGTCAAAATATGTCTAAAATGGGTGAAAATACGTTTAAGTGTAAACAATAGGACAATTGGTTGGTTTTGTCCGTTTTTGCTCAACCGTTTAAGTGTAAACAATAGGACAATTGGTAGGTTTCGTCGGTTTTTGCTCCGTTGGTTTTGTGAAGGCGACAATAGGCCAACACGGCAATGTTCCTTCCAGCATTCCACTGTGGTTGAAATGAAATTATTACATTGAAAGATTACAAATAGTGATGAGAGTGAGTGAGTGAGTGAGTGAGTGAGTGAGTGAGGGAGTGGGTGAGTTTGGTTTAACGCCGCTTGAACAGTATTCCAGTAAAATTACGGCATGTGAGGAAAGCCCGAAATGATACAACTTGAAGTCTTTAACGCTTACCACTTTGGTGTCGTGTAAAAGATGGAATAAGGTGAAATAAGTCCGAAGTTATGCAGGGACGTATATTAAAGAAGTTCAGGTTCAAATTGATCTTTACAGGAGATAAAAGTATACCTAATTTTAAAAATATTCTTTACGCGCTTGTCCCTTTGGACTCCTCTTGCATGAATGAGTGAGTGAGGTTTAACACCGCTTCAATGATTGTATCAGTTCTATCGCAGCGTGTCAGTTTAATGTGTGATGGAAGCCCGAAGCAATGCATGTCTTACACGTTAAATGTTGCACAACGAGCAAACAATATGAAGGCGAATTAACGATTCGAATCCACGATCGTTCATGCACGTGCCTGCACACATAAGGGATACAACTCTGTACAGCGAATCAGGGTGCATTAGACCACAGGCCTACCCGTGCCCGTCATCTTGTATTAACAAAGGCTGTATATTGTTCAATATATCTTGTTTCTGATATTGGTAAAATTAACTGTGCCGGAGTAAGAATTCCATCGTTTTTTTCGGATTTTTTTTAGCTTAGAGGTGTTTCATTTCCGTGTATTAGCCACGTGGGGAAGATATAACTCCCCTGCTGTGCTAAGGGAAAAGGAGTGTTTCATTCACACACAGTTATAGCAATTACCATGGCAACAACCTTGTTATTCACATATGCTGTCTCTAGATACATAATGTTTTTTTAGAAGCCTGTTCAATTCATCCTTGTATATGTAACTGTTTATGAATGTAGGGCACATGAAGCTTGAATATTTGCGAGGACTACGGAAATGGTGTATGCCATTTAGTAAAGAAGGCAAAGAAGCGGACAAAGATGGCGATTTACTCGTGTGGGGTTCTTGGGGACAATAAAGAGAAAGCAT